AAGCCCTACGCCCAATCAGGTGGTTTGGCTCCATTAGGGCGAAACCAGCGAAGGTCGCCTCCCTGCAATAGCAAGTGGACCACCGTTGCCTTCCAACAACCGACTGGATTATCGATAGGTCATCCTTAGAACAGCGAGGGCTAGCCATGCCCTGGTGCAAATTCTGCAACACGGCATTCTGCACCAGGAAAATCCCTGAGACCATTGAACACATATTCCTTGAATGCCCCGGTGCCATCGGGTGTGATGGGACCGCATATGGAGACACCTGAGTACATCCCACTCATGGAGGGGGCTGCTCTGTGAAATGACCTGTTCAAGTCCAGTCGGCGGCCCGTGTTCTGGGCCCTTGAAACGGAAGGAGAGCGGTTGGATGGCCCCAAATTTACCGACACCATCAATCAACAAATTCAAAGAGACATCACAACACACTGGGAAGGAGTGAAAGCACAGATAGAACATCTCCATTCCCGAACTGAAACTCACGACATCATCCAATAGTTCAGCAGGTGCTGGCTTGGGGGCATGAGCGGGGGCAAGCTCACAACGAGGATCTAGGGTCGAGGGTCGAGGGTCAAGGGTTTAGGGTTCTCGGCGACCCTCCACTCTGATTAGCTTTTAATCTCCGAATGCAGATGGCTACTGATAGCTATTATAGATCTGACGCCCAGCTGTACGGTGAAGAGGAAACGGAGGCATTCTCAGGTCTGGGGGAGGTTTCCTGGCTCCACTCTCCGCTGGCTTCTTAGTTCTCCTAATCCTCTGATTAGAAGCAAGATTACTTCCTGAGCTGAAGCCAGGTAAGGGCCCCGGTGATCAGACATTTTCTCATCTTGTTCAATAGGACGCTGAACCCGGTTTCCAGCAGGTGCAGCTCCCCCCCAATAGATGGAGTGTCCGACAACAGATTTACTAGGGGAAGCTGCTCTTGTCACCTCCCGGTAGTAGGCCTCGATTGACATTCTTCCAGAAGAAAAAAAAGACTGGTCGGCAGACCGCCGGCCGATCGGTCCTACTGGTACTTGGTGGTCGCTGTTCGGCGGTCAGTGGCTATGCAGCCCTGAGCTTGAGCTCATAATTATTTCAGATTTTAATCATCAGAATGGGTGTGAACTTGTGAAGTCGTGAGCACTGCAAAGTTCTGGGCCACTCAGGTGACTCGGCTAATGAAAACTTAAGGGGTATAAATCGGGGTTGCATACCCGCCGACCGCCGACGCTGACTGCCGCCCATTTTGCAGCCTACCAGTAGGGCCGACCAGTCGGCGGTCTGCTGACCAGTCTGAAGGGGACAATCCGCTGATGTTTTTCCAGACTCGAGTTCGGGGCTGTATTGCGCTTACTGAGTACAGCACAAATCCGCTGAGAAACTTTTGGGGATGGGGGGGGTTATTGGGGG